AGCGCGGTCCCCTCTACGGCTGGGAAGACCCTCCGAAAGCCCTCAAAGGGACAGCTCTCAAACACGCACAATTACTTTATTCTTGGTCACGTAAACAGAAGGTCATAAACATGTAAAGAGAGGGTTAACACGGCAGTGTCAGCACACTGAGCGGTAAGTAAAATTAATTATCCCGCATGAAACAGTACCTTTGCTTGAAGAAGGCTAGTGATTTTTATAAACACCCAAGTTGCATTTTCAGGACATAAAACTACACACATACTTTATTTTTCCTTTTTCTTATTCTTTTCCTCTTCACTCTTTTTCTCCAAATAACACTGAAGAATGTTGTTTAGCTGCTGTTCACAGTGGCTTGCATGTTGTAATCCATTTTCCCATCCTAAAAGCAGCAATAAATGGGATAATTACACCTCATTTTATAGTATTCATCATAATTAGTTCATTTTTGGTGATGAAAATATTTCCTCAAACCCAACAACTGGTTACAATATTTCTACTTTGAAAATTGTTCTTCTTGAGAGTTCAACCATGAATGAGATGCTTCCTTTGATGTTAACCAAATATTAAGTAAAGTTAGTAAGTAAATAAAATAATTCCTAACTCAGCACCTATCTCTAGCGACGAATCTCTTGCCAAGACTCGCGATCTCCTGTCTTAGAGACTAGGGATTCCCTTTGCAGCACCTGCTAATGGAAAGCTCTGCTCCTCTGAGAGGGGACATGCCTCTCTGCAAGGGTGCCTCAGTGGGCACTGAAGTCAGATTCAGTCAGCTTTTATTAAACTTATTTAGATGATCTGGCTACTTTTGCTTATTAAAAGAAAGGGTTCCAGGGTTCAAAAAAAATCTAGACATGAGAGGTAAATAATACTTTGAGATCTGAACTGTCTCATTTCAAGGGGTATCAACTCAAGCACAGATGAAGGGAGGAAATATGTCCTGCTTTACCAAAGTGTGCATGCTGGAGGAAGCAAAGATATACAGGACAAAGGGGCTCCTCAAGTATTTAAACACCTTCTAGTAGAGTTGTAGAGAGAAGACCATGAGGATTTGTGCTTTGTCATTTTTAATCAGGATTAGTTTTCAAGATTATAAAATAAAGAATTACAGTAAACTTCAGGAAACACATAGAAACTATGCAAGAAACTGACTTTCCAAAATCTGTATTTCCTTCTGTGGCCTGATTAAACAATTGTGTTCACAAGACAGTCACTGGCAAACAAACCAATGAGAAATTATGTGATAGAGCTTACTGATCCCCAGCATCTGATGGCATCAAAGAGAAGTCCTATTACTGGATAACAGATAAATATCAAGCATGAAAACGGTTTGCAGATGCAGCTGCAATCATTGCATGCTTACAACGTATCATACATAAAGAGAAAAAAAAAAAAAAGCTACCTGATTTTGAAAATAAAGGAAAAGAATATATTACCTTTGCAGTGATTAATTACTCTCCCCCACAGGCTGTTCTTAGTTAAACAGGCCAGATTTCCAACAATCAACAAATGCCTCTTTGCTCTTGTCAGTGCAACATTCATTCTCTTTTCTGAATCTATGAATCCAACTTGTCTTGTTCTTACACACGACAAAACAATGATCTCCTTCTCAGCTCCCTGGAAGGCATCTACAGTGGACACTTGCACAGCTTTAATTTCAAGGACTTCGGAGTGTAGACCATTAAGCAAATTCTGAATCTGCACAAATGAATACAGATGTCAATGAGTTACATATTTACCGAGTCAAGCACTTGTCTTGAGCTAAAGCGAGTCACAAGTCTGAGTTTACGTGAGCCGCAGATTGTGAATGTAATGACAGGATAACCTCAACCAACTACTCTAAAATATTCTGCAATGAATCCATATTTGACAAAACACTGGTTGCATTCAGTTTAACAGTCTGTGCCTTTGCTGAGTAATCATAGCAGCCCATGTCAGCCTCGGATGAGCACATGAAGTAACCCGCAGCCCTGCTATACACTGCTACTGAATCTAACAATCATCAGTGTTACTGAACAGAACAATTCTGCTCCTGTCATAAATACCAATTCACAACAGCTACTAGATCAGTTGTGAGTATTATGTACTATTTAACTTAGCAGTTTTCTAAGCATACGCTTGGGAGAAAAAAGCCTCCAAAAAAAAAAAAAATCTGAGGCAAGTTTGATTTAAATTTTGAATTGAATTTTCTCTAATTTATTAGAGAAATAGCTATAGATTTTTTTTTAAAATGAGACGACACATGCAATATCTGCTTCACCTTTTTAGCACTTCTTTTCACCTCTAGCTCAGTTTTTCTAGTTCAAATAGATCCTTTGTTTATTCTAAAAGAATTTAAGAAAATATTTCACTAGTAATATCTTATACAAACCTTGCACATCTGTGATTTATAAAGAGTAATCACACCAACTGCAGATCCTTCTATTCCACTCGCAATCAGAGACTGGATTAGTTTAACTGTAAAATGAGCTTCTGCCATATTATAAAAGCTGTTATCTCTCTCTATCTGGAAAAGAGGGAGAAGTTCTGACTTAGCTCTGATAAACAGCCCTTGAAATACATTTTGCTGCTTAGTGACATTGCAAACAGAAGTGCAGTGGAAAAAATGGCAACATATTGAGTTTTTAATATGTAAGAAATGTTTAAAAGCTTACTTGCTCCACCCCATTAACACTATAAAAACATAGTGTTGGAAGCCAATCCAACAGAGGACTTCTGTCTTCCTCTGAAACACCATTTATCAGACTTCCTCCATAAAACAGCTCGTTGGCTATAGCACTGATAGCAGGGTGACATCGGTACTGTGTCCGAAGCAGGACTGCTTTATGTCCCTAAAGAATTATAATGCAGAAAATATGAATAGACAAAAAAAAAAGTTTTTCACTATGCAAATTAGAACAAACAAGTAAGAAGTGGAAGTAATTCCTGCAGTAAGTTGACTTGACTCTCAGCTCAACATACATACAGTTCAACAGAAGTTAAAACAAATACTTTCGTTCCCGATTCTTCTACCTGGATTGGAAATGTATATAAATTTCAGAAGGTGGAATCTGTAAATGTACTTCATATATTCTTACATTTTCTGGGTTTTCAAGTTTGTGCACCGTTAATATAACATTTAAAAAGGATTGCATCAAAATGGAATCTGCTTCATAAAACCAACCAACCAGCCAGGCTGAAACACTGGCCCTTCTGACATCTAAATCAGGACTTTAACTTAGTTCAGTGGGCCCCGACTGTCCCCCTCCATGCTGTTACAGTACAAGTAGTACATACCATTAAGGAAAGTCGATCAAATAGAGTCTGCTCCAACCCCTGTTCATGAAAACTATCAGACCCTTGAATAGTTGGTGGTAATTGCTTAGGGTCTCCAACAAGGACTAGCTTTTCACATTGAAACCTAAACATGAACATGGGAAAAAAAATGATATACTGATTATAGCATTTACAAAAGAGTGTGCTTTTCTTATCACAGATCACTCTATGGACCAGGCTATCACTCTTTCTACAGCTAAAATAACACGGTAACTTAAGAATGGCATCTAAGAGCAGGCGTTGATTTATAATTATTATTCTTGTTTTCTAAGGCAAGAGCTTGGAGCTCATGTTCTTTGCGTGTCCAAGTCTGGTAGCTACTTAAAAGTTGTGACATGGCAAGCTAGAAAGTATTTCTTGGCTGAAACACAAAAGGATGGCTGTACCTTGCAATGGGAAGGAGAGAAGCAGGTTCAGTCATCTGACTGCACTCATCCAGCACCACCACTGGAAATTTAAGGGTATTCATACAAGAGAATGGGCAGGCAGCACAGGTCACTCCTACAACTTTTACCTTTGTTATTGGCGAGGAGAAAAGGAACAGAAAAAATGTTAAGAGATTATGTAATAGTTTATCTGAGTGCAGTATATAACTACATCTACTTTTTTAAAGCAGTTCTGCTGCATGCTATATTACACTCACACAACCTCAAAAATGAAATTCTACCTTTCAGTAAGAAGAACAGTGTATGCACAGAGATGGATCAAAGGCTGACGTTTGCTGTATCTGGCATGCTTCTGTATTAGAAGAATTCACAGACTCATGGATTTAATACTGGAGCAAATCTGATAAGACTACACAACCCTGCCAAACCTATGGAGCCCCAATGGCAAAGGTGGCAGCAATAACCACTAGGAATAAGCAGAGGGAAGCCATATACCCAACAAGACAGTAAGCTACATGTGTGGAATCAAACCTGCCTCAGTCCTAGCATTCATTTTATTTTTCAAAACTGTAGGAGTTTGGCAGCCTCAGGTGACAGAGGGGATTCCCAGTTTCCCTTTGCCAGGCCTCGTGGATATGGCATGCTGAATACTGACTTTTCCATCCAATCACTTGGACAGTACCTGTTGCAAAGCAGCTTTGTTGGTCCCTAGTTTATGTTGCTCAATGCTCTTCCTCACATAAATTCTTTCAGCTGGAGTCAAATCTTCTTTCATGAGAGCAAGCAGCTCTTTTAACTGTTCATTTTCATTTCCTGAGCCAGCATGCAAACTTCAAAAACAATTTTATAACAGGTATCATAATTACAGACAATTACAGAGCTTTTCAGATTTCAGTGAACACCCAATATAGAAAAATAACTATATGCAGTACATAATGATACTTCACAGGAATGTATTAATTCATAACAATTCCAGTTGAGATGGACAATACCTATTTTAAAACAGACAACACCCAGACAAACAGGCACCAACCCAGCCAAACAACCGAGCACGGTTAATGCTTATCTGCACTTATGCTCCAAGCTATGCCGCTGATTTCAGACCTAGAACTGACTGGAAATACTTCACTCACCATTTTAAATCTTTTATATGCTATTGTTATCAAGTAATGGAAATGTAATCTTTATTGAGCTTGACTTATACCTCATTCTCTTAAACTGTGCTTTAGATTTAAATAAAAAAGTTAACTTGGTTAAGGAGTATAGAATTCATGACTCGTTACCATAAATTCACTGAACATTAAATTTATGATTACTTTCTCCTAGTTCTCACCCCTAGGAATGATAGGTATCTATTTTAATCCTGTCTTTTCTGCTTTTCTTCTTGTATACTTTTCCAAATTCCCAACTGCCATTATTTTGTTCTCTTCTATTGCTTACCATCCAAAAGCATTAGCTCCACTCAGCAACTAATCAAATTCCCCAAACAAGATAAAAACTATTCACTGTTCAAAACAAAGAGATAGGCTTACCACATTTGGAATGACTTTAGAAGAGTCAATTTACAACACTACGTAATTATGATCTGCCTTACAATCTCTGCAGATCCTTCAAATATGAAGATTCTTACCTATAGGGAAGAATTGGTTTGGCGATTTTCCTAATACTTCCAACTCTGATAAAACTCTCAAATCCAAGATCAAGTAGACTTTAAAGAAAGAGAGATTATAGATTTTACAAAAATATACATACATATATATATATATATATATAAAACAATTTTGAATTGTGATTTGTCTCAAAAGCATTCTACCTTTATAATACCTTTCTCATAAATGATCTTCCATTTGTACTTTCCTTTTCTTCCTTTAGCCTTTCAAATCAAGAACTTCATTCCACACTAATCTATAATGACTTCTTTTTCTTCTCCTGTATTTGCTGAAGCTCCCCAAGCCCTTCTCCTACTGCTGCTGCTTCCCAAAGCTTATTGAGAACCTGGCAGCTTCAAATGGTAAATGTGATGAAAGGTGGGGTCAATATTAGGATTATATACATTAGTGCTGCTATCCTTAAACAGTCTTATGGCATAGGTGAGCTGCGCAAATGATCAAGGGTAAAACTGAAGTCCTTGGGTGATACTTAATAGGGGAAGAATACCATCTTCTAAAAATTTATGCTGCAAATATGACTACCCTTACCATAGAAATGCATTCTTTTCATTGGAACAATAGCCTGTACAATTTTAGCTCACTGTAACCTACCTAAGCAGTATCCTGTCAACAGCAACGTTGGTGGAAGAAGCAATCAGAAATTTCCATGGAATTGGCCTCTGGCTCTCCTTAGCTTCACTGCTTTCAGAGAGCTGCACTAGGAACAAGATCACAATAGACAGCAAATAGCTCTTTCCAGCTCCGAAAACACCTGGTATTTTAGAAGAGAACAAAAATTAAGACTAAAAATGTCTATGACATACAGTTCTTATTAATTGTTTTAACATTAATCTATCTTCTGAAATATTATGCTGGGATTCTTTGTATGTTGTATATTTTAAACATGTGCTAGCTGCAGCAGCCATAAGCTTCCAGGACAACCAGCTGGCTTACACTTTGTATTTATTTATTTTTTATGTAATGTCTAAAAAGTTAGATAGAGAGTAAGATAAGGCATTCTTCCTAAATTTTCTGATGGAATACATGTAGTATTTGTATAGGAGTCTCATTATGGCATTAGCATAATACAAATGCCAGCATAAGCATCCTCATACTATCTCCACAGGAATATACATTTTGGAGATGATGATTGTTTTGGAGTGTCTGATAATTATGAATAAATTAATATGTCTGACAGCCTAACAAAAGCTCAGGCAATTTAAATTGTACAATATTTGTACTAAGAGTATCATTAATGTCAATGTATTTATTTTGACAGAGTCTAAAATTTATTTTATGGTAACCATTTCCCAATATAATTTTAAAATCTCCTTGAACTAAGTTGTTTATTAACCTTTCTGGACACACAGAAGAGGTAAAACGGAGATAGAAGGAAATATAAAACAACATGGACAAATGTATAAGAATAAAGATATGATAATTTAGCAGAAACAGTACAGAAGCAGTTCATCTATTAAAAAAATAATATGAAAAAAGAAAAGCAGGAGATGCTGAATAGCAATTTTTTGTACAGCTATTTCTACTAGGAAAAAAATATGCACTTGGCTAAGATTTCTACAAAAGTTATCATGCAAATCAAAAATCTAGAGGTCTGTGCTGATAGAATGGATAGACTGATTATATTATTGATTATATTATATATATTATAGATAGATTGATTATACTATATTATTGAGGTATTACCAGAGGTGCCTAACAAAAGAAATGTTCAAGAAAAATGTAAACTTGTTGAGGACAGCTGTGTCACAATACAAATGCGGAGGATATTACAGAGAGTTTACTCAAGACCATGTTTTGGTCGGGTTTAAAATATATCAACATTTGTCTAGATGTAAGAATATCTCAGTCTGCCTAGAATTTTAACAATCAATTAGCACAAAGGAAACAAATCTACTGGATCATCACTAGGAGAAATTTGGGATATGTCATTAGCACTGGCATTACATATCAATTAGCATTGATTTCTTAGAAAAAAATAGCTGTAAATTTAACAATTATTTGCCATATACCACGTATAATTGTGATAGGGAAGATCTGCTGTTCTGCCTTTGTCATCATTTCAGCTATCTGAATTAGTGCTGCTGCTTGATCTGGGTTCAAAGAGAATGTCTGGATCATCTTTCTGGCTAGTCCCATCGCTATTTCGGGGCTGACGAGTCCATGCATCATTGTGCATTTCAGGTTCAAGGCTGGAGGAATAAATCTTTTGTTCACCTTCTTAGTAGCTTTTTCAGAATCAGAATTCCTAAGGAAAAAAAAAAAAGAATTCAGACCATTACTATGAAATGTATAATACTGGAAATGTACAACTTACATGTCATGTTTTTGACATTCAAACTCACTTGACCTAGAAATGCTGAGGTTTTACAGTAAGAGATGATCAAATTGGAAACTGTTGCCCCCCTTAGTCCCAAAATATACCTGGCCTTTATATTTTTCCTCCTTATAACTTTTCTGTGTAAAAACTGGGTCATCAAAATAGATTTTGGAGTTATATCATTCTTGATGTGAAGTTACATTTTCAATCTAACTTATTCTTTCAAAGCTGTCAATTTGACAGAGTTAAGAGTGGTAGAAAATCATAGCTAGAAGTAATGGGAGTTTATATAATTACTTGTTTTATCCAGTGAACCACAAGCAGTCTTGAATACATCCCTATATTGCTTTGACTCTCCAAGGAAATAGTTCCCTCTTTTTTTCCCCCTTAGTGTATTTTCTTTTTAACAGATTCTGAAATTTGTGCAGTTTGCTAGAAAAAAACACTTTTAATGAATCCCCATGAAAAATACACATTAATTTAATACAGTCACCAAACTGTATTATCAATCGAACGGCCATAAAGTTGTCCAGCATGTTCACAGTATCACTGAAACCATAACTTACATTTTTAGGAGATACGGGATTAGCGGTAGAGTGGATGGATTGAAGTGCTCTTCCATGTTTCTTAAAGACGTAAGCTCACCACTAGCATTACAAACCAGCAAGGCATGAACAAGTGCTGAAGAGGTCACAGAAAAGCATGATTAGAAAAATATGCAATTAGTCAAAACTTTGCATCAGCTTAATCCACCCGTACCACAGTAGCTCAAACTGCATTGTCTATCAATATTTTCATTACAATACAAAATTATTTTTCATCTGCTAAACAGCTGTGTTCTTACAGAACCCCACCACCAAAACCCACAAACACATCTAGATTGAGCCAGTCTAAAAGTCCATCTAGTCTAGTGTCCTCTTTCCAAAAATATCCTAAGAGGATGCCTACGCATGAGAACAGAGCACATTACTTAACCGCATTTTTCTGAATTCTCTGCCAGAAGCCTAAGGTTCTCCGACTCGGGGATTTCTTAAGCAAGAAGAAAAAGGAGAGTTTCTAATATGTCTAGTAATCCCCCTACATCAATTTTAATGTTATAATCGGCAGCTATTATATATTATTTAAAGTTTTGTTTTCATAGTACTCTTAGTTTTGTAAAGCTCATAGAAGCATGAAATAAAATCTGTATATGTGATCAGGAAGGTGCTAATACCAAAAATGTCCTAACGAGAAATAAAGCTGAAATCCTGTAATGCAGCAACATTAAGACCTGAACACTAAACTCCCCTAGACCCTGACTGCTCTGAGGCCTCAGTCTTGCAATTTATACTCAGGGAAAAAACAAAACCTCCAATTGATTTTAAAGCCCTTAATTTCAAAAGGGCTAAATTTTTAAAATGATTTAATTTTTAAAGTTTTTAAATTTTAACAATTTCAAAGCCCAGAATTTCTTGTTCCTTACTTCATAGCTTTAATTGCCTAAGTACTGAATTTAAATTACATATTTGAACATACTTAAAAGGAAAACATCCTGTGAATAAAGTGATGTATTAGATTTTAGAAAATCCCATCTCAGCTTTCATCATGGGCCATATTTCTCCCCACAATGGTGGCTTTACTTAATGCTAAATTATTTGATGTACAACTTACTATTTGTTTGCCAGTTGGAGGGAGAATAGCCTTTCAGTGGTAGTACTTCTACTTCATTGTTAGATGACGGTCCAAAGAAAGCACTGCTTGCAATGAAAGTATCCAGGGGATCAAAGTATAGAGTCTTCGAAACAACCCAGATATCATCTGTCAAAATAATGCATAGTTATCACAAGCTTTTTCTACTACAGGCTTTTAAGGGAAAGAAAAAGCCCCAAATTACTACACTACAAATTAAGCCTGCACTAAACCGACAGTATGAGAGATCAAAGTCCTAAATAGGTTTAGTTCCTTTGTCAAGCAATGCCAAGACTTGAGTAGAAGTTTTGCTTGTGTAGAGTTGCAGAATCTAAATGTACAAGAACGGGATTTATCAGAACGCTTCAGAATCCATGCATGAAGTGAGCACAATCATGTTTTGTTTCTGCCTCATCTTCCACTATTCTCCACAGCCAAGCAAACTACAAAGATGTAAGTATCAATTCTTCAGTTACTGAAGCAAAGCCAACGGAGACAACCTAGAGAAGATCACTGAATGTCCTCTGAAACTCCAATATTTCACTATATTAGCAGAGATATGCAGCAATTTTTTAAAAACTAATTTTC